AATGGAAACATTATTTATTTAAATCATAAACTCATTTACATAATGTATGTGGAAGTGCTAGAATAACCTTGTCTGTTGAGGCTGTCATTGGATGGAGAATAATTATTATGACAAACTGATATAATCCACGATGGAAATGAAATGAGTGTATCATTTTTATAATCAATGAGAGAAATGTATGATTTCGTCGGTCCAAATGGTTAACATCATTTGGCAAAGGTATGAGGTCGTGTATTTTTATTTCGTAAATTTTTCATGGTCATTGCTCTGCAGAACTCACCCGACTAGTTCCACCGCTCAGAACTTTCAAACGCTCCACTAGGTTCTCCACTAGCTCACACAACTTCACCGTCCAAATTCCTTGTTCGAAATCTTTTTACAGTAACAGTTTCTTTCCCTGTACGGCCAAGCTTTGGAATTCCCTCCCTGGCGTTTCCCACTAACCAACAATCTACAGGCTTTCAAATCACCACCATCTCTTGACATGTTTCTCCCATATTTCTAGTTCAATGCCGAGAAGTGGTCGTATAGGCCTTGCATTTAACCACTCCGTAAAAAAAAGACTTTCGGCCATGCTCTATATCGTACCCTGATCTTTTATTTAACGTCGTTAACTTTCTAGTGGTTGTCATTTTCATTAAAACCTCGCCGTTCATATCTGCAGAGTGTACGGGGATTGGCATTGCTCTCACCATAGCTGCCATGTTGGCCTTGGCTATGGTAATTGTCGGGACCTGGTTATACTTAAGTAACGACGTTCGGGATTTACAAAAGGTAAGGTTACATTTCAGCTAACCTGCTTTTAATTCCGCTACTAGTTGTACATAACATGTAACGTTATGTCTCTTATAAAACTTTTTAATTTTCCAGAACGAAAATGCAATTGTTTATCTGTATAAAACGATTCAAAAAGTAGTTTTCTTTTAAAAGCTCGTTTTTACAGGTTGTCCATTTCAAGTTATCCATGTTTATAATTGTTACCAGTTTAAGTTGTCCATGGTGCATTATACACTTAATAACTGGATGCTCTTTTATCTGCAGCCAACACAGGCTGTTGTGGACACTACCTACACCCCTGTTCACCCTAATGTGGACACTAGCTACACTCCAGGTCATCCTAATATGGGCACTACCTACACCTCTGTTCACAATAATGTGGGCACTACCTACACGTCTGATCACCCTGTTGTTGACACTACCTACACCTCTGATCACCAAGTTGTTGACACTACCTACACCCTTGTTTACCCCAATGTGGACACTACCTACACCCCTGATCACACTGCTGTTGACACTACCTACACCCCTGATCACACTGCTGTTGACACTACCTACACCCCTGATCACCCTGTTATGGACACAACCTATCCCTCTGTTCACCCGGCTGTGTACACTAGCTACACGCTTAGGCGTACTGTTGTCACGGCATCAGCAAGTATGTCGTCACACCCCACGATTCTCCCGCCTGATCAGACAGTGCTTGAACGTGAAGTAAGCACCAATGGTGTTAGGGCACCGGCATCATCCATTCAGAAAGGTATGGTATTTTCAGTGTTTTTTTTTTTTTGCTCTTGTGACTTTAAATCCTGTGAAAACTATTATATTCTGTGCGTCTGTCTATTGGTTTGTGTTTTCGTACGAAATTGCTAATTCTGTTTCTGTTGGAAGCCACTGAAACCCATATTAGCTTAAAACTTAATTTTTGTTGGTGCATTCTATAATGAAGTTTGGAGTTTTGTTCAACACAAAAGACTATTTCAACACAACTCCTGAAGCTTAGGTTAGTTTAGTGACTGAAAGATGGAAGGTTGTATAAAGACTTAGCAGGCTTAGGAGTAACTAAACCCTATTTAATAGCATACTATCTGTGTGTGGAAAAATGCTATGTTAAGACGGAAAACCGTTGCATGTATTCCATCAAAAACAGGTAAACAGGTTCTAGCTATTCATCGTAGATACCAAGAATAACAGATATAAATATTGACGAAAATTTTCTTAAAAAGTTAATAGTTGTCAGTAATAGACAGATTTACTTATTTGGAATATAATTTTTTCGCCCTGGAATGAATTAAATACCTGAAATGGTTGTTATCAATGGCATTGTTCCGTAATTTAAATATTGCTTCATTGAACCACACATTGGGGTATAGTTAATTCTTAGTTGTAGTGTCAGCTCATGTTCATATTTATTTTGCCTACTAGGGCCAGTAGCTCCTACGAGAAACTGGCGTGATGACTGGCGTTGCGGTCTGCGTTACCCTGCAGAAAACGGTAAACCTGCCGAATGTGACCCTGGCGGTATAAACCCATGCTGCTCCCCGGGAAACTGGTGCGGCAACTCGAAATACCACTGTGACTGCTCGGGCTGTGTGGACTTCAGGAAAGGTCTGTAGCTAGTTCAACACACATAAAAGTACCTACAACAATAAGGAAACACACACAGACACAAAACCACACACATAAACGCACACACACACTCACACACACACATCCACACTCACACACACACACACACACACACACACACATGCACACATACAAACACACACATTTACACACACACACAAACACGCGCGCACACACACACACACACATACATACACATGCTCTCGTAGATTTGACATAAATGTTGTAAACTCTGCGCTGGAGCTAGGTGCACAGTAAACCAGCCATATCATATATATCGAAGATGACGTCGGTTGTAAACCAAATGGCTGTGAATAAAAGAACTTCACTATTCAATATGATGACATTATTAACGGAAAACAACTTGGCTATTCCAAGATCAGGGTGTATTAATCCCATTCTGCATCGTTATGATTATGATTAAATACCCGTTGAATTCTGTTCAAATTTAGCAGTGATACTTAATCTTAAAGCAGGTCATACGGTGGCGAGACGGTATTCATTGGCCAGAACGATTTCCGGTGGCTAATGGACACTCCTCTGCATGGGCAATGTCTTGACACCGTATGATCTGACTTGAAGATTTAGTAATATCCTATACTATCTCTATATAGCTTGCCACTGTACGATCTGCTTGAAGATAAAGTGATATCCTATACTATCCCATTTACTATTTTTTAAAATAATTTTTCTATGTTTTAGAGGAGTCTGGCTGGTGGAAGTTCCTGCAAACGCTCGAGTCACATTTGAAACGGGAAACCGGGACCCGCGCGGTATGTTCCTGGTGTTCCGAATGAAAAGAGAATGATGATTAGGAATGATCAACATTTTAGTATAAACAAGGCTGTTAACTGGGGGTCGTGTAAGAACATGAGTGTTGTCGAATTGCAACAGACAAACGCACACACACACACACACACACACACACACACACATACACACACACACACACACAAACATGCATACACATACATACAAACACACACATACATACATACAAACACAC